CACGCACCCTTCCCAACACGCACACACCCCGAAGGCCCAGGATTCTTTGCACAAGGTGACGCCTGCTCCCTTTGATGCTCGCCGGATGTGTTCCCATTGGGCAAAAACCAGACCTCAATAAATCCAGCATTATCAAGAGGCCGGTGGTTTGCGATTGCACCCGCCTGTTATCTCTGGGCCCCGGGTGGGGCTGCTTTGCGGTTCACTCTTGAAAAGCACTAACTTATAGGTAGATCAAAGACCCTTCCGCGCCAGCCAACCTGGGTCCCTTGTTTATCCCCCCATGGACTGTTCCTAAAGATGGACTTTAAAGATAATAGGTCCCCCAGTCCCAACTCCCTTGTGTCCTCTCCTTATCATACAGTACGTCTCTTGGGGGGTCACTGAACAGCCAATCACCAGGCCTTCCTTGTCCCTCTCTTTGGATGGCCCACTGATCAACAGTACACGGGGACTGGGCCATGCAGGCACTCCTGTCCCCCTTGTGGATCACAGCAAGGAGGTGGTTCTGGAGGGGAGGTCATTTATTACACTCTGTCCTCAGAAGGAAGACACTGCCAGGTCCCCCTTACCTGGCACCTTAAGGCTCCAGGGACTCCACTGTCTACACAGATGTTTGAAGCCAGCAGTCAGTCTGCAGTGAGGTCACAGTGGACTTCTGAGTTGTGCCGATCTGGGTTACTGACTACTCATTGGCCAGGGAGTGAGTACAGCCATCTAACAGGGCTGCTTGCACGCTTCCTGCCTCCCAAGAGTCCCTCTGCCCATGGGGCAGGTTGGTTGGTGGCCAGGCACAGGGGGACAGGTGTGTTTTCTTTTTTTATCTCGAAAGTACTAGGCCTATTATCTGTACTGAAGAGGCTCAGGGTTGGATGGAGGGATGGATGAAGGAAGGGATGGAGGGATGGATGAACAAATGAACCAAAGAGTGAATGAGTAAGTAGATAGCTAGCAAGCAAGCAAGTAATTCTATAATTATGGGGAAAAGGAAGGACAGGGACATTTACTCCTATCAGTGGGAAAACAGTCCAGGTGCCAAATCTCACCTGAGACATCGAGCTCAACGCCATGCAGTCAGACCAGGGTTCAAATTCTGAACCCAGCTTCTTGTATGTTGTTGGATCCTAGGTAAGCTACTTTAGTTCTCCTTAACCCATACAAAAAGCAGGAACATCCTAGTGGCTAGGTGAGACTCTAAGGACTTGGTAAGTACTGTTATTCCTCACCACTCCCTTCCCCTATGGCATTCTCTCTCTTCAAAGTTGAAATAGCATATTCCCAGCAAAGGAAGAGCCACTTCTGTGATTATTTTTCTGCCACAGACCATGCCTGCAAGGTATATGAAGAAGTCTCGCTCTGTCTTCTATTACTCCTTTTTAACGTTTGGATTAACCCTTACCTACTGCCCCTCCTTTTATACTCTTTCAAACACCCCTAAAAGCCCTGAGAACCTGGGCCCACACACAGGGAGGAGGTAATGAAGCCAAGTGCTGTGACCAGGGAGGAGTCCCCACTGTGAGTGACCAACAGCTCAGTCACTGGCTAGAGCTCTATCCAAACAGTATTATCTAATACTGAAATGCATGGACCTCCATTCCCCATGCACACACTCTCTGCAGCTCTGAGGGTGAAGCCAGGGCCTGCATAGGCTAAGAAACAACTCCATTACTGAGCCACACCCCAGCCTGATGTCCACCTCTTCCTTCTCTGCCTTCTACTTCTGTCCTTCTGACTTGGGCCCTGTTGACCTTGAGCCTTGGTCTGACTGTCTCCATCTCACTCCTCCTGAAGACACAGCAGCCTTGAAAGCCAGCGTGGCCAACCCCACTGGAAACAGAGCCTATGTCTGCTGGCCTGTGTGGTCCAGATCCCTGTGGCCTAGCCAGCTTGTGGCTTCTATGCCAGGATGATGAGTGGAGGAGCTGGACCTCAGCGCCCTCTGTCCCAAAGGAGCCAGGCTGTTACCCAAGGCTGCAGCTGGGCCCTCGCCGGCACTGGGAGGTCACGCAGCAAGCTTGCAGAAGAGGCCACCCACATGGCACATCAGGAAGCTGGACCAGCCTTAGGGCCAGAGCCGCACCAGCCCTTGGCCCGGACTCGGGAGATTCACCATATGGCTTCCCCGGGGAGCAGGAGAGGAGGACAGGAAGTGAGCCATGGCAGGGTGAGCAGCGCCACACATCCCTCAAGTGCAGGGGACACTGGTTAGACTTGTCCCCAGCATGTGTGAGGAGAGAAAAAGAGTGACAGCTGACAGTGACATCCCCCAGACACACGGGGCCTTCCTCTGGGCTCCTCCTCTCTCTTCAGCCTAGACATGTTCCCAGGGTTTGATGTGAACTTCAAACCCCCTGAAGTTTGGGTGACTTCACGCTTTTCCGGTTAAAGACCCAGAATGATTTTCATGTTTGCAGAGAACTGTGACCAAAAGTGTACGCTGTGGAGCAAAACAGGAAGAGAAGACCTCTCTGGCTCCCTCTCTCCCCTGCTCCTAGAGTCCTGGGGGTAGGGTGAACTCTGTGCAGCTTTGGCCTCACCATGCCCCTGGAAACTTCTGTTCTGTTGCAGCTTTTCTTTCTTTTGGTCCCGCAGGTCCCAATCTCTGGGGGACAGGTGGGGGGGGTGGAGGACAGAGCAAAGGGGACAGTTGCTGAGCAGCCGCAAGAACAGGGCCAGATGTCTCATCCCAGGTGCCTGGCAAGCTGGGACTTGTGGAAACCAGAGCCCTGGCTGGTAGAGAAGATGGACAGGGGAACCAGAATTCAAAGGGGCGGCAGAAGGAGGGGGGCCTGGCGGGGAGAGGGGGAGGTTTCAGTGAATCATATAAATTAGAGACAGAAGGATGTCAGGCCACCTTCATTTCCTTCCTCTCCTAATAGGAATTATCTCATTAGCCCTGAGCTTCCTAGAGGCAAACTTTAAACGATTCCTGTAATGGGGATTTCAATCTGTAGCTCCCTCCCTCCCCACCAGATCTGACTCCCAGGAGAAAGCTCTTAAAGGGACAGTGTGCAGCGAGGCCAGTTCAAGGGGCTTAGTACTGCCCACGTTCATGTACCCTGCATGTCCGCTGACAGGACTGCATAGGAGAGCACAACCGTGGATATGGGGATGAGCTCAACGTCCTTCCGTTCTCTTTAATCTTGCAAAAGAAAAACAAACAAATAAATGAATGAGCCACATTCTGATCCTTGCAACCGAGGAAAGTTGCCTTATATGGCAAAACGGATTTGGTAAATGGGATTAAGTTAAAGGTTTTGAGATGAGAAGATTATCTTGGATTATCCTAAGTGTAATCACAAGTGTCCTCAGAAGAGGGAGATAGAGGGAGATTTGACTACAGAGAGAGGAGGAAATGCAAAAGGACCACAAAGGCAGAGGCTGGGATGATGTGGCTATAAGCCAAGGAATGCTGGCAGCCACCGGAGCTGGGGACAATTAGTCCCTACAGCCTCCAGAAGAAACCATCCCTGCCTACAATTCGATTTCAGCCCCAGAGGTCTCATTTTAGACTTCTGGTCTCCAGAATTGTAAGAGAAGAAATCTGTGATGTTTGAAGCCACCAAGTTTGCAGTAATTTGTTACAATCAGCCCCAGGAAACTAGTACACTTAGGGAAAAAAAAAAAACCAAAAAAACAAACAAACATTCTTTCCACAAGAATTATCTTTGGAGCCTTATTTCACAGCAAAAGAAAAATATATCAGAAACATCAAAGAACCATCCAAAAAATAACTATGTTGTAGTCCCCTGATGAAATCCTAAACAATCATAAAATAGTGAACTATTAATAATAAAGGACTAACATCATATAACAATACGGCTGTAAATAGTTCTCTTGTTTTTATCAGTGGGCTAATGGAAGGCATCTTGTAATTACTGCTGCCCCTGAGAGTTACGTACTGAGTTGCAGAGTGGTACGAAAGCTAAGCCCGGTTGAATTTCTCCATATGAACTGAGAAGCAGGACCTGTAGAAATTCAGGGGACTGAGGGCACCAGAGAAGGCCTACAGCTCCAACCCACCCCCGTGTGTGTGTGTGTGTGTGTGTTTCATATTCAACTGGAGTTGCCAACATTAGAATGGGTGGCTTCTGGAGCAATGAAATTTTCCATCATCAGTGTTCTAACAGGAAGTAGCTTTCCAGAAAATCTTAGAGACTATCATGGCTCCAGATGGGAGATGGAAATAAACTGGCCAGAATCAGTTTGATTTGATGAGAGCAAGGATGATAGGTATAAATCGCCACAAACCCTGCAAACTACATAACACAGTGCTGGGCACTGAAGACACACTCACAGCACCACTGAGGATGCTCCTTAACTCTCAACTTCTCTCCTTCCACAGACTCCCTGGCGTAAAAGAGGCCACAGAAAAGGAAATGCTAAGAATACTTGTGTACCAGATGACTGTTTACAGAACACTGCCTTGGCTTCCTGCGCTCTGGGATCAAATCTGACACTCCTAGATGCCTCTCTCCCTGGATGGCCAGCGGGTGACTCAGCAGCACACCAGGACAAATCCCGTGGCAGGAGACACCTAAAGCAGCACTGCTTGAGTACTCAGGCTGAGAAAGGGATGCAAAAGCATCACCACCTCCGTCTGGGCAGTTGGAGGATCCCCGGAAGGCCTACAGGACACCTTCCGGGCCCCTGTTTCTGCACCTGCCAAACCAAACAGACAAAAAAAATAGGACAGGAGCTGAACCACCCCAGGCAGCAGCTAAGGGCAGGCTGCCCATTCCCGCTGGAGCCCAGATGGGCCACACCCACCGGCTGGACAGCGTATTAGCAGTGGGAGGCCCGGGGCACTCTTCAGCTACAGGTGGGCACTGCTAAGGCCACCCTCAGGGGCAGCCCCAACCTCAGGCCTTGCTTTGCTGCTAATCACTGTAAGCACCCTTCTGCCGAAACCCCGATCTGGGTGGCCTGAGCCACTCCCCAGTCTTGTCACATGCTCGGGAAGCTCAGCTGGCCTCACACAAACCTTGTCAAGTGAGCAGGACAGATGTTGTTATTGGTCCCACTTTACAGATGGGGAAGCTGCGCCAGAGTTGAGGGGCCACCCAGAAGCTCACGTCCTCGTGTGGCCCAGACCTCCTCCTTCTGCACCGGGCAGGCAAAGGGCAGCTTGGTACCTCCTGTGCTGCCTGTGAACACCAGAGGGCTTTGCAGAGGTGGCCACAGACAGCAGGAGACATCCCCTCCGCCGGGGTCCAGGGCCTCCTTCCTTCCACGCACCTGACTTGCTAGGATGCTGCTATCCGCCGGCCTTCCTCCTCTTGCCCAGCAGCATGGAAGTGAAGAGCGTGGCTCTGGCAGGGCAGGCATGGCCTGTGTCCAGGCTGGGCCTCCCCCAAGAGCAGGGAGGCATGTCTTTTGGGATCTGTGAGGAGAAGCTGCCCATTCTGTACTTTTCCAAGTCTGGAGAAAGGCTGAAGCAGGGTCGATCTGAACTTCCAGCTCAACTTCTGAGCAACAGCTTTCCCCACTGCCCCAGAGAGGTGGGGCCTCCTCCGTCTCTCCCTGCCATCTCCAGCAGCCCCAGGAGGTGGCCGGGTAGTTCTGAAGCAGCACGGAGCTAAGTGAGCACTACTCTGTCTGGGGTGGAGGTCAGTGGAGCATGAGTTAAGGACCCTCAGCTTGGGTCCCTCGGGGAGGTGGCCGAGCCAGTTCCCTTTCGGTGGGGCCTCTGGACGAACCCATTCCTGGAGCAGAGCTCTGGGGGTGGCATCCGCAGCTAATGGGGAGAGGAGCCTCACATACGCCTGACTCCTGGAACACCCGACTGGATCCTTGGACCTGATTTTCCAACAGGACCAAATAAACGGCTGTGTCCCCACCCCCCCAACCCATTTCTCTGTCCCTCTGCCCCTTTCCTCTTGTGGAAGGTGTATTCTCAGAGGAGTCTCCTGGGAGATGTAGTGCATCTGGGGTCATTAGGAGAAGAACCCAGAGAAGACGGACGGACAGTCTGTAAGCCACGAAAAGTCCAGCCGCCTCCAGCCCCGTGGGCCAGCACTCGGTTCCCATGACACTCACTGGCAGCGTTAATAACTAACCACGGCCCAGACAGGTGTTGGCAGCCGGGCCTTAGGAGTTCTTGTTCAGGGGTGGAAGTGAGTCATTTCCCTTTTATAGTTTGCTAGCAGACTGAGTCACCCAGAGCCGACCCTTTCACCCAAGCTCTCATACCCCAGCCACCTAACGTGCAGCCCACACCTTAGACCTGCCTACTTCCCAGGGAGGCTGAGACCTGTGCAGCCGTGGATGGGGTCTGGGTCAAACAACATCCCCGCGAACGACCAGGTTTCTCTCTGTTCCCCACTCTCCCCCTACTGCCTCAAACCCAACAGCTGACTCACTGTGCCAAGAAGAGGCGGCTGAGCTGTCTGAGGAGAAAGACTGCCTGACAGGTAGAGACACACGCTCCTGAGGCCTGGTTAGGGCTGCCTCGCCTTTGACCTTCAACCAAACAGTGCTCTCATGCCTCGCTACCCCGTCTGGAACAAAAGACTAGAAACAAAAAGTTTCAGAACCATGAGCCAGAGCACAAAACCGTGATGCAAATAAGTCCACTTCATTGTGTTCAGGAAGGACCAAGGCCGAAGGCAGTTAAAATGGGTCCTGTGTCCACAGGCACAACACATTTCTCTGGCCCGGCAGCTCAGGCTGCTACAGTGGCTCGGATCTTCTGGGCAGAAACCAAATGCAAGTCAGCTGCCAGGAGGGACCGAGGTGTCTTCTTGGGGAATCCCTTCCCCGTGCTCACCTGGTCCCTCTTACAATTTTTTAATTGCAAAGAGAGGAAGAGAGAGAAAACAAAAACATGAAAAAGGGGGCTAAAAAGGAAAACTATCTCCCCAAAATAGTTTGGGGATTTACTTTTTTCTAAGCCTCAGAAAGTCCCTCTCCACCGCGGTTTATAACATAGACAACCAACACACGTGACATGGGATGGGACAGCACTGGTGCCTTACTGCCAGGGGCCCCGACAGGTGTGAGAATGACAGGCAGAGAGAAGACGACAGTGTTTCTTTCCTCAGAAGGTGAAAAAGAAGTCACAGCAGAGGCCACACTGGGTGTGGCAGAGAACCTGACACCCTGCTGCACTGGCCTGTTGGGTGAACTCCTGGCTGCTGCCCTTTCAGGACTGCACCTCCCCTCCCTACCCTTCTGACTCCCCAGCTCGCCTCAGGGCTGTCTCATGTCTACAGAGCCCTCCGGACTTCCCAACCTGCATTGTGAAATCTGTTTGCTGCAGCTGTGGCTTTGGCCGCCCTTCCCAGGTGAGGGGACCTTCTCCAGTCTTGTGTGCTACATCTGAGACAGCAGTTGGCCGATAGCATCAGGGTCCACGTGCCTGAGGGAGAGAGTCCACCCGGGGAGCTGGCCTGGGGGACTGCATGAGTCATCGGGCCTGACCGGTAAGCACGATGTCCCAGGGTGCAGTGGGAGGCCTGGGGACCGAGCCCGCTCCAGGGACATGAACCAAGGTGACTCATAGTTGGACCCAGAAGGGAAGTTCCATCCTCAAGTCCTCCGGATGGCTCTGGTCCTTGGGTGAGCTCATCCAGTCACTGCCGACACTCAGTTCGGGACTTGATTCTTGTTCCCAGAGCTCTGGCACCTTTGCGCTCTCAATTATGGTGGTGGCAGAGACTGGCGTCTGAGCCGTGGCACCTCTGTCCTCAGCACACACATGTGTGATGGATGGAGCTGGGGACAGAGTATGTCCTCCCTAGTTGGCCAGCTTTTCATCAGGGGACACAGCCCTCCCCACTGCTGATCTCATGTGGGAGCCCTGGGGGCTGTGAGGCCATGAATGTGACAGTTCTTTGAAAGGAAGTTTGCAAGGCCAGAACCAGTGAGTAATACTGAGATTACCATTTCTGACTGCTGCCTTGGGGTCCAGCCATCAGGCTCCCATCTTGCTCCCTCTCCCAGAACCTCTGGCTTGGAGGGAGGTGTGCAGGGGCCCAGGTGGGAAAGGGTCACCACCAGTCATCCAGAAACACACTTGATACTAGCACAAACACCACAGGTCATGACTCCGCTGCTCTTACTGCATCTTCCTTACCCCAAGCAGAGAGCATAGAAGTTTCTATAGCTTTGCCCGGCAGAGGCAGGTCCTCAGCTGGCTCTTCTGTCATACACAGGAGCTATGGAGAAATCTCCCAAAGAAGGACACTAAGCAATGAGCACCCTTTGGGCTCAGCTGTCAGGTCACACATAATCACAAGACACTGGCTAACAACCACCATGACCGAGACCTTGTGCACAACTTCTGAGAAAGACAAGCTGCTTCGGATAAGCGCTGCAGGGGACTTGTGCCTGCCCCTCCTTGATGGCCACAGTGGTCACAGGGTGAGAGACGAGAGAAAATGACAGCAGATCCCATTCATTTCTAGAAGTGGGGGTAAAGAGGCAGATGAGAGGAAAGCATGAGGTTGCAAGATGGTAAGGAGAGCCGTGCACAGGTCCGGCAGGGACAGACACCACAGGAGGGTCTGCAGCAGTATGAACTGTGCTGTGGCCTGATGACATCACAATCAGGAGTCCCTTGAGTCTGGCAGGCTCCCTCCCTGCCCTAATACAACCGGAATGGGGGAACACTCCTGTCCTCCCAGTTCCTTTGCTTTTCCTTTCCATCCTTTGCTGATGGGCCTGCAGTGGGCCCCGGTAGCTTTACAGGTGGGGAGATGGGGAGAGGCCCTCCTATTAAGCCACGACCCCACACAAGATTGTATGGACTGCCTGAATGAGGCAGTCATCACTGCTGAGAATCAGTGCCTGCCACGATCCCCGTCAATCGGCTCTCAGAGGTACGTGATGGGACAGGAGAGACACGGGCATGTTCAGGTCCCTTCCTGTCTGCAAACCCTTCTACCAGGGGCTCAGTTCCCATGGGCTTCCACAGCAGCCCCTTAAGTAAGTTGACTCATAACACACTTTACTCGAAACCCTGCCTCAGTTCCCAGGTCCCATGCAGGCAGGACGGGAAGTCTTGGGGACCCTGCCAGGTGTGGCCCTCATGCCCTGGGGTGCTCAGCCCCTTCACCGAGCTCCTAGAGCTCCTACTAGAGCTCCTACCATGCCTGCCCTTTGTTCTCAAACCCACCTCACAGCTTCTGCGCTCCTGCTCCTGGTCTGATGTCACTGCTCCCTCCCTCCGACCCAAACACTCTCCCCTGAACACCGAGCATTCTCTCCCTCTCCCCTCTGCAGTCACCTGCTCCATTCCACTGGCCACCTATGCTCTGCTCTCTCCCTGCCCAGCACCCCTGAGCCACTTTTCCTGCCTCTGTTTTCCCACGATACTATTCCCTTCTTACGTACTAGGCAATGTGCTTCTTCATCACTGTCTGTTCATCGCCTGTCCTTCCCCCTCTAGAAGGGAAGTTCCATGAAAGGAGGACCATGCTTGCTTTGTTCACATCTCAGCCTAGAGCGGTCCTGGCAGTGACAGGTCCCCAGTATCTGCTAGATGACTGAAAGAATGAAATGAGCGTAGAATGAATGAGTGGATGGAGTCACCCAGGTGGGAGGAAGGGGCTGCATCATCCGGAACGGCTTGGCACCAGGTAGAAGACACCTGGAGGAGAAGGGAGACCCGGGCAGAAGGCAAAGGCAGAAGGTGCTTCAGTCAGAGGCAGTGCACATGGCTTGCCTGGAAATCCCCTTGGCGTCACTCATTAACCATCGCAACCCCAGCTCACGTGAAGCCAGTCACCAAGCCCAGGCACAGTGACTTCAACGCCTGGCACACTCCATGCCGGCCCACGCTCTCACACAGGAGTTCAGACCTTGTCTGGGCCTATACTCTTTGCTCCTGGGGTCCTAGGGTTAGCAGAGAAAGGGGGACACCACAGCCTGGAAAAGGGATGCCTCAGAAACAGAAATGAGCTCCCCATTCCCACTCTTTTGAGCCACAAGCAGGGAAGCAGAGCTAGTACTGCAGGTGACGTTTTCTACAATGGATTATGGGGTAGCCAGGTGAAGGAGCAGCTAGTCATGGGCCCCCATGGCTGTGAGGAGAGAGCATGGTCGGCACGGGCCAGGGTGCTGAGTCCAGTCTGGGGGCAGGACACACAGTGGGAAGAAATGGATGCAAAGTAAAGTGTCCAAGGAGATCTGGTCACTGGGACGATCAACAGAGAGACGTGGTAGGTGTCTTAACCCATCAGAAGGCGACATGTTGAGTACTGGGTTTAAGAAAGAGTTGTCAGGATAGGATCACTTGGGAAAGGAAAGACTGGAAATCCAAAGGCTAGAGCATCTGTGGTTAAGCCATCTGGTTCTTCAAATGCCAAGGCAGAAGGGTGGCCTGGAAAAGGGAGAAAATCCAATAGAAAATTGTTGCAGAACAACTGTCGCAACACAGTGCGCTGGTGAATAGGGAGTTAGAAACCCGGGTCACCTCCTGTGACAGATAAGATACAGAGGAGTAAGGAAGGGAATTAATAGGGCACCTGATCCTGATCTTCACTCTATGATATTTTCTTCAACATTTGGTCTTCCCTGAGGACAGGGAATAAGCATTACCTTCTTACAGATGAGGAAACTAAGACTTGGAAATTTACCCAAGATCATATTCAGAACTCCCAAGATTGAATACGAAACAAAACAGAAAGCACCCTGACATTTATGCTTCAAATGTCCTAGTGCTGGGCAAGGCACTCATTTAACTTCATAATACTGAAGAGACTGTTCTTAGCCCCATCTTGCAGATGGGGAAGCAGACGAGAAGGTCACAGAGTGAGAAAGCAGTGGGAGCTGGATGGGAAGCCAGGCCGTCTGACTCCACGGTCCTTACCACCGCACTAGAGAAGATAGGGACCAATCCACAACACAATCTGCCGGGTTGCAAACCCCTGCACAGCACCCTCCTTCCAAGTTCCACGGGAGAAATAGAAACGATCTATTGCCTCCCATCAAACGCGCCTACATTCTGAGCTTTCAGCCAGCATGAGACTTATAGCCAGAACCAGAGCCGCTATGCACGGAGAAGCCTAGACAACTGTGGGCAAACCCAGCCCTTGTGTGAAAGGAAAGGGTGGCTGCTCCACACCCCGCGTTGTCAGGACCAGACTTCAGGCAGCAGCACCCCGGAAGTCCTGTGAACAGACTCTGCCTCGGAAGGCCAGGTCCATCCACCTGTCCCCTACACCCACAGGCTGTGAGTCACCTGCCTGAGGGCTCTTCCTGCACACTGTCTGAAAGACCTCTGTGTCCTGCAGTGGACTCCGTGTCTATACTGCAGGTAGCAGGAGCTGACGGGTGACCTGCTGAGAGGCTGAGCCAACTCGCTATCACTCAAAACAGCAAGAGACCACAAGTGTGGTTCGGAGCTGGCTTTCCATCCCGGCTCCTCTGCAAACTACCTGTGCAACACTGGGCAAGTGACTGTACGTTGGTTTTCTCATCTGTGGGCTGGGCATCGTGCAACTCACCTGCTGGAGCTGTGAGGGGCCATATGAGTTAAGCCAAATCACAGCCATAGAACACAGCCTGGCCAGAGTTAATAAATACTGGCTGTATTTAAAAGCCTGGGCCCCCGAGCCTCTTCTGCTGGCTACTTCCAAGGCTCCTGCTGACAACTGCATGCTGGGCCAGCAAGCAGGTGTGCTAGGGACGTACACATAAGGTGACAGGCAAAGACACAAAACCCCAAAACTGCGACAGCCTTGTGTGACTCACCTTTCTTCTTGTCCTTCCTTCGGGTCCAAACCACCACCAAGCCCACTGGAAATCTCTGATTTCACCTGAAAAAAATTAAGGAGAGGGTTACATCAGGAAAGAGTGTAATAATGCATTTTTAGGCTTCACATATGGAGGGCGTAGCTTCCGAGTACCAGCTGCTGATCCTCAGAGGCACAAGAGTTTAATAGCTGCTTGCTCCTCAATATAGAACAAAACCACATTAATCTAAACAATCCAAACAAAGGGAGAAATCCATTCCCTCTGTCAATTGCAGATGTGGCCAATCAAAGGATACTTTCCAAGAAATACATTTTTTTAAGGATAATAAACTAGACCTGGAATGAAATGAACCAAGATGCAAACAGATTATTTCACTGGATAGCATTTTTTTTAAAAGTTACAACAAAACTCAAACTCACAATGGACTTGGACTACAAAATGATCTACCGCTAAGCACTGAGCTGTTCTGTTTTTATTGGGCATTTTGTGCAAAAACCTCCTGTACTACCGTTGCTGAGTGCTCTGACCTCATTGTACATCAGAAGTCATGAAATGGGATAGTGCGTCAGGAGCGTCCAGCTCCACGTCTGGCCCATATCATGCTTTCAAAAACCATCAGCTATACTATTATTAATTGTACATTTCTGTGTAGGTTTCTGGAGCGCAGGGCTGTCTCAAACCATCCATATAATTTCCGAACAAATGTTCACTGATGTCACCGGGGTTGCTGTCATTGTTGCTGCTAAAATAGATATTTAATCTTTAAATCCGGCCCCTGTTCCATCTAATTCTGACACCAGGAAGAGTAGTATTTCAAAAGGCGGTTAAAGATAATAGCCACATTCTCAACTTCCCCATCATTAGGCTCAAAGAGATCACTCTAGACCCTCAGGTTGGCAAATGCAAACAGAGAGAAGAAAGGAAAGGGGGGAAAAGGACACCATCAGATTTGAAACAGAAAACGTGTAACCTTCACACACAAGAGAAAGGATTGTTTGGGTGGCGTTTTGTCTTCCCTGCCTGAGCATCACACATCATCACTCCGGTGGTTTCTGAGTTCCTGAGGACAGGGCCAGGCTGGTACTCTGCCACCAACCCCACAGTCACGCCTGTTGCCGGATCAGACAGTGGAGAGAGGACCTCCCCTGACGGATTACAATGCAGGCCACAGCCACGAGTTTGCTGCACCTGCCTCCTGCTACCAAAGCCATGAACCTAGAATGCCGCAGATGCCTGACCATGGCTAATGGAACCTGCTGCCTTAGCCCAGATGAACAGCGCACCGTTTGGGACCCATGGGCTGACAGGCAGATGCCGAACAACTTGTGAACAGGGACCAAGCAAAACCCACTATTCCGTCCACCTCCAGTCCTGGAGCCTGCAATGGACCCACATTCCTGCTTTGCGCAAAGCCATCTCCAGGCCCAACCCATTTTTATTATTTGGTAGAAAACGTCTGATAAACTCATTTAAGCTAAAGCCCAGAAAAATGAAAACAGTTCCAGTATTACCCTTCCAGGGGAGATCTACAAATTAATGTGAATCAATCTCACGCCTCACCTACCACCATGAACTCTCAATTTAGCCAACCCAGCAGCAGAGGCTGGGAGAGGGCATCTGAGACTCAATACAGGAGGTGGGCATTCTCCTGGGCAGGGGAGAGAAGGGTCCCTCCCCTGGACAGCTGCAAATTCATATTGAAGCCTGTTCCCACCCCAGGGGTTCTGACTATATGGTAAGGCTGGCTAGGAGGTGTTTTCTAAAAGCCCACTCCCACCTTAGTAAGTCTAAGGATCCTCTGGAGATGTTGCTCCAATGTGCATCAGGGGATTGGGGTGCTGGCCTGTGACTCTGCCTAACACGCTCCTGGGCAAACTCAAAGCTATGGGGTCCTTGGAACGCACTCTGGGCAAGCCTGGCTTTACACCTACCCCCTTAATCCTCCCAGGCCCCAGAGGAACCTCAGGCAAGCTCTGGGACTGACTCACTCCTCCTCCAGAGGTCCCACAGATGTGCCCAGTTGGCTGTGGAGTACCAGGTGAGGCAGGGACCCTGCTCCCAGCCTTGGCCAGTTCTGTCCAAGCTCAAGGCCATCAGACTCATGTCTGCAATGCCCTTCTGAAGGCCTCTACACTAAACAGAAAATTTGTTAAAGCTGCAGGGTGTCCTTCCTTTTGGGTTTCTGCATTGCCATGGCAACCAGGAGCGCCCAGGGATCCCAGATGCCCACGGGCCCTAACTCCTTTCCCCTGGCACACTGGCTGGTCTCTGTCCTCAGGGGCCCTGCTGTGCTGCACACATCTCCCCACCAGATAAGCACTGCACTTCCACACTTAATGGGAAATGGGCTGCACCTGGCCATCAGCAGCCCAGCAGACGGACCTCAGAGCAAGGCCGGAGTTTGCAGCTGGCTGCCTACAGCCTGCCCCTAAGTTCTACTTTCCCCCCTCTGCCTTGCACACCACCCCTACCAGATCCTTCCTGACATCCCCACAAGCAGATGCCTGAGCCCTGCACCTCCAAGTGGACCCCAGACCGGTGAGGATGACCACCACAAAGATCTCTTTATCCAAGAGAGAAGGACCCCGACACAAAAGCCTTCCAGGTGAAACACAGAAGACATAACCTAGAATAAGACTATTCCCACAGGTCTCCTGTCTTCTCCAAAATGTCCACCAGGATCAGGAGGCCCTGTGTAAAAAAGACCAGGGTAGAGAAGGATAAATATCTGGATGGCCTATGGGCTTCAACACTTTATAGGAATCCTTACAGAGAGCCCTCTTTTTGGCCAGAATAAGGGTTGGAGTTGGCGGAAATTCTTGGACCTTATGAACGGCTCCAAAACCAGAGGGAAGCAACTTCTAGAAGTCACTGTCTAGAAGTCACTTCTCTAGGAGCCCAGGGAGCTGGGAAGATATCAGGGGGTTGCACGTCTAGGTCCCCTTTCTAAGAACCTACCTAAGGCCAACATCTGCAATGGCCACTGATATAATTAAGGGTCCATAATAACGACCTCATTAATAAGAACAAGCGTCTACCACCTTCATGTCTTGATAATAACGAATCCAGCCTGGACTGTGTCTTCCTCATGCCACCGCAGTCATGCATGTAATTTTTTAATAGAAAAAGGGACAGCAGGGGTGACTACTTCCTCCCAGTCTCCACACTTGGTAGTTTTTACCGAGACCCCTTGTTGAATGGCTCAATGCTGTCACTGCAGCTCTTTCTAGAAGACCCCTGCCACAGCCAAGGGACCAGCTCCCCAATGCAGACAGGATCACCGGAGGTCCCTGGTGCCCCGGGGTGTTTCTGACCAGGCAGAGGCCCCGAAGCCACCACCCCTGGCCGCCCATGTGGGAGAAGCGCAGTCTGGTAGGAGGAGCATCAGTGCTGCAGCCCAGACACACACTCAGCCCTGCAGCCTAAACACCCAGCATACATCACACCCAGGCCTATAAAAGGTAATTATGCAATCTGATCTGGCAAATTAGGGCCACAGAACTGTCTAATTCTCACAATGAATTCGAGGGTTGGATCAGCAGGAAAAATTAACCTGGATCTTTATTGGGATTTGCCCCCAGGTCAGGATTAGGGCTCATTTATCTCTTTTATTTTCCTGCTGAAGGAGGGTGGAAAGGTTTCTCTCCTGCCCACCGTCCCCATCTCATCCAGGCTTGGCTTTTGGACAAGCCAGCTGCCCGGGGACCTTTCCCACGCATTACGGACTCCAGCTCGAATCATCCAGCACCAGCTAGAACGAAGGGAGGGAAGGAGAGATAGACAGGTAGATGACAGATGGATAACTTTTCACAAGGAAGAAAAGTTCAGGCTTCCCAAATCAAGGAATTCAGTCCATACTAACTCAATACAAGGTAAATGAACTGACGTTCCCAGGTGACAATTTATCTCCTAATTATTCTTGCCCAACGCTGAAATGTTTATTTGGCAAACACTCATATACGCATTTCTCTACTCCCTCCCTTCTCCTCCCTCTCTCCTTCCCCTCTATCCCTTCCAAAGACTCTTTCCAGAGGAGATGCTCATTAAAAGGAGTTGGTGCCCATCTCCTTAGCTCACTAAATAGCAGAATCAGCCACGCATGGTGGTACACGTTGGTTAATCCCAGCACTAGAGAGGCTAAGACAGGAACACTGTATGTGGTTTTGAGGCCAGCATGGGCTACATGTTGCATTCAAGGCTAACTGTGACTATACAGCAAGAGCCTATCACAAACAAACAACAAAGGTAAAATAATACACGGGCATGGGAGTGCATGTCTATAATCCCAGAACTCTGGGAGCCTGAGGCAAGAGTGTCACAAGTTCAAGTCCAGATTAGGTAACTTATCAAGACCTTGCCTCAAAATAAAAAACAGAAAAAGGGCCGGGGATGTAGCTCATGTAAAGTCCCTAGGTTTAACCCCTAGTACAAATCCACCAATTAATCGGTCAAATAAAACAAGACCAAACAAGACAGCTGTGGTCACTAAAGAAGTGTCACCACCATGCCAACGCCAAGGCCAGTGTACACCAAGCAAGGATTTCCTTCATCTAAGAAAAGCAGGCATTATAGCAGGCCTTCCAAGCTCTGTTTTTGGTACATTTCTGGGGGTTCCCCTTGGGGACCATAACACTACTCCAACTCCTCAGTCAGCCCCACAGTGACCACATAACCAGGGCTTGAAAAGACAAAGCCCCTGACAATTTAGACGTGTTCCTCCTCCTCAGGCTAAGAGAATGTGGGTGTTGTTGGAGAAACAGTCATGATGCATGCAGAAACTGAGGCAACTTTCCCTGTGTTTAATGCCGGCACGATCTGCCCGTGAAATGATTCAAATGTGCCCTCTCTATCAGACCAACCTGGCTCAGGGAACATGTTTTTGTTTTCAGGAATACGTGGCTGGAAGAGAGGAGCAGCCTGCAGCATTTTTATCATTAAAATATCACGGGAACCAAACTGCTCCGTTTCAGAGCAGGTTTTACTGAATACAGGCAACTCACTTACTACGCATATACACAGATGTGCGTGTGTGTGTGTTTCAAGGACAATGGTTTTTAGGAAAACAATTTGGAACAAATGTCGCTTCTTGTGCCTGGTCTATATGGATTCAGGTGGCCCTGTGAGGAGTGGTGAAAAGGAAGCACAGAAGACACAAAGGTATCATCAATCGGACAGCGATCTGTGCAGACTTCTAGCCAAACCCCAGGCTCCAACGTGGCTGACACCAGCAGGCACTTTCTGGAAAGAGATAAACCCCACTGTGGGACGAGCAGGCTGAAGAGTCTTGCGGGGAGGAGGAGGGAGGCGGCAAAGAAAAGCATCTCTCCTCCTAACCAGGAAACACTGGGATCCAAGTGGGATCCACTGCAGGTCTGAGCAGAGGGCAGGGAAGCCAATGAGAGGACAGCAGGAAGCCAGTCACGGCACCACAGACACGGGCAGAAAAGCCTCACAGACTGCAGTGATCAGAGCCGAGCACACAGGTACGAGTTCCAGAGGCAGAGTGCTCAAGACTGAGATCCGCTGTGACCCCTGACCGCGGTGTCGCCTTGGGTGCTTTCTGGGTGCCCATTTCCTCAACGGGGGGATGAGGCTGACAGCAGTGGCGACTCCTGTCCCTTGCCGGCCCTCCACCATCAGCTGTCCCTTCTACTTGAGGACGTAAAACGGGACTGCACCTGCCTCTGTACTGGTACCAAATTAAACCACGCTTGCCTGGCCCATCGTGAGTAATTAAGAAATGCTCTCTGAGTCTTAATGACATAAAAATCCAATCACAAGTTATAAAAATGCAGAAAGAGAAAGCAGTCATCGTCTCTGGTAGTTGTTTTCTTATTTTTTTAATGTTTAAAGTGAACATTTTATGAAGAAAAAAGAGGCATGGTATTTAATAATAAAAATAAAACAGATTTTCACTGTTCTGAATGAGAAATGAAGCTATTAAGGTAGTGTGTAAGAGTGAAAATAGTAGCCGAGATTGCTTGTCAAATCCACAGCAGCTTGGAAATGGAGGACAGAGAGGTACAGGCTGCACGCAAAGGTTGGGTTCAAGGAGAGATCTGGCAGGGGTTCCTCTGGACCCACAGCAAAATCTAGAACGAGACCAGGAAGTGGCACAGCCAGAGGGCTAGTGCCCACGGTAAGCTCGGAGACAGTGGTGACCAGGGGCAGGAGGACGGCAGTGTCCACGGAAGGATATGGTGGCTCTCGGTTTCAAAGGTGAGCCGCAGGCCACAGGGTGGAACAGATCTGCCCCGTGGCACTTTCTGAATACCTGTGCCATTACAGAGTCCAGTGACACCTGTCTTTCTGCATAGGACCCATGGCTCCGTGAACATCCCTGGGCCCATTGCACAGCCCAGGCAGAAGCAACAGGCTCTTTGCCACGGCTGCAGAGGCCACGGCTACAGAGGCCATGGCTGCAGAGGCCACAGTAGGAGGGAACAGGTCCACGGCCCACAGCAGCAGACCCAGGGAGCAGACCAGAGCCCGCGAATCAGCACTCTCAGATCCCTCCTGCCAATCTGCAGGCTTCGGAGGCAGGCATGTGTAGGGACAGGGACAGGGACCTCCTTCAGAAGCATCTGTTTCAGACTCTGCCCCTCTCCCACTCCTGACTCCCCTCTTCATCTTGAACTGGCACTAAGGGAGCCAGCAGCCCAGCTAAATTCCTGTCTGTCCCCACTTCCTCGCAGGTGGCCCAAATTTCTGATCCCGATCTTTTTTTCTAAGCCCTGTCTGCCAGCTGCTCCCGGGGCAGGCTGATCACTGGCTCCTTTCAGATCTTGAACTGGCATTAAAACAAATCACCTGTACCCTTCTCGAGTGCCCCATGCCACTGAGTTGGCTTTTCCCTCACACTACCCTGATGAGACGCCCTCAATTAAAATCACTGCATCCATTTAATTCTGCCAATGTTGTTCATGATCTATTTTCTCTTATATCCCTATGGCTATGACAATAGCTAAGGCCATTGTCAACCTTGGGTTCAGTTTGTTCCCATAAAAATAATGTAATTTATTGAGTTGTCCCAGCGCTTTATAAGCATTACTTTATTCAATTTCCTCAACAACCCTTTCTCTTTTTAAAATTGCTTCTTGTCTGGCCCATTATCCTTCCACTCAATAGCTGTCTGCCTGTTAGAAAGCTTCAAGCTCTTTGGTGCCTCAGGACCTTTGCACTTGCTGTTTCCTCTGCCTGAAACACTTTAAGAGTCTCCACTCAGACAGCACTTCTTCTTCACAGAGGCCACCCGAGAGCAGCATACCCTGTGTTCTTCACTATCTATAACCAAATGTGAAATTACTGCACTTGTTTATTCCATTTTAAATGGTGTCTCTGCCCACAAGACCGTAAGATTCTTGAGTGCAAACTACTTCTCTGTTTTTCTCCTCTGTAGAATCAAACAACCAGAAATGGGCCACTTTGTAGCTGAATAAATAAGAGAATATATCAGGAGCCCTGTGAGAAAGACAGTGTGACTGAAGTACAGAAAGGTTTAAAAGGTGCTCAAGGTTACCTGGCCAGTATGCGGTTGAGTGAATATTTGTACCAAAGGCCCTGGCTCCAGCAGAAAAGCTGAAGGCGAGCCTCCTCTGTGGTGATAAACCCTCGCTTGGGCTCTTTGCCTTCAGACTGGCCTGTCAAAGTCCACACTCTGCAGTTCTCCCAACTGATTACCCTAACACATCTGCCAGCTCTGCCCAGCCCTGCTCAGGCGCCATCAATGGCTCCCCACTGCCTTCCATGTTCAAACCACACCCTCTGCCACCTACACACTTCTCTCTCCACTCTGCTCAAGCTCATCTGATCTTTGCTCCCCAGACCCCACCTCACTGGCCCCTGAATCTGTCACACTCTCCCTGTCCTGACTCCCCACACCTGGCCCCAAGCCCACCCCATGTCCCACCGTCCACAGGCAGTCACGTGACTTTCCAGCACTCATAGGAGCCGCAGCATTTGCTGCCTGTGCCCTACACTTGGTGTGAAGCTTAGGCTAATGGGGGGTGGGTATCCGTCCTGTCTCTTCAAGGAGGCTGTACACTCCCTGTGGGTGAGCAACAGGCCTTGCAGTGTGAGATTTTACAGCTTCTCGCAGTGTGCAAATCATCAGCTCTGTGGCCCTGAGTGTCAGAGAGCAGCTATGGGCCACACCTGGTCCACAGCCACCCGCAGCAGTAAGGCTGGACCTGCTGCCCCCAGTGCTCTGTCATCCCTCAGATCTCCTTCTGTCTGCTTCCATCTGGAGCTGAAAACTCGGTCCAACTCCTGGTTCTCTCCCAGAGCTTCTCAGTGGATTCTAACTGCAGTTTAAAGACCCAATCCACTGTGCTTACAAAGGAAGCAAAGAAAAAGAAACTTAGAAGCTCCAAGCCCGCCAGGTCTTCTCTCTTCAGACCACATCTTTACCCCTTGGGGAACCCACTAAAGACAGGGGCTGCCCAAACCCAGCAGCGTGACAGAGGCCGGCACCCCCAGCCGGCTCGTGATGTCACTGCGGTCTGCGCAGCTCCCAGCTCCCTGGAGGATGAACCACAGAAGGTGTCCCAGGCCCGGGTCCACACTCGGGTGCCAAGCTGAGCCCCCGTGTCTGGGTTTCACCATGTTTAAATGGAAAATCAAACGCTCGACTCCAAAACACTTTTCCACTGATATTTTAAGGGAAAATGAGATCACAGAAAATCAGGGAGGTGAGCGAAATGGTGTGACCCCCAAGCAACATTTATTTTCTGAAGAATCCCCAGAGAGCCTTGTTCACCCGCTGGGGTGGGGGCAGATCTGGGGAGACCTTAAGCCCAAGAGACCCCCGGGGTGACAGCAAGATTCCCATGACCATGAGGATCCCAGAAGGCTCCCTGAGCTCCCCACAAGCAGCCCATCCTCTCCGATCCTCACGCTCTGGGTCCCTAGGTTTGCAAAAGCTGCCCACGCCCCCCTTGCCAGCCAGGTCAACATCTGCCCTGCCAGAGATACCCAATGTTTCCACAACCCACCCGGAGCCCAGCTCACCGAGCTATGAATAGTTAGTTATTAACATGAACGCACGGCATTAATTAAAAAGCGTGCGGCCAGGCACATTCTCATACTTTTTAAAAAGTCATTTGGGTAATCGCCTTTCCATGGCGCAAACTTTCCAAACGACTGACAGGTTGACATTTCACAATGTTGTTTGTTTTAATCAAGAGGCAGGGGGCAGGGTGGGTCTCGGGTTCATTTCTCAGGTGCCTTGATTTATTGATTGGCAAATCCTGACTTAATAGCTGTGCCGGGAGGCTGGGGGAGAAGGTGGCACCTCCTCCCCGCTGACATCTAGAACGGTACAGAACAAAGCAACCAAGACCCCACTCAGCCCCTCTGCCACCTTCGGCCTGTCTCCGACACCCAGGTCCCCACATGCTCTGGACTCCCTGCATGACCCCCTCCACTCCCACTCCAGATGCCCAGCACCCCATCAGGCAGGGTGGCTTCCTGCACCAACACCCAGCATGTATCCTACCTAGCCCAGCAAGAGCGGGAGGCAGGCAGGCGTCAGGATGGACAAAATGCTCCCACAGTTCTCAAACTTATTTCTTTAAAGCAGCAAAAACCTAAGACTGGCCCGGATTTGATGACTGTGAGTCCCTCCTCCACCATTTATAGCTTTGCACTCATGCCTTAACTTACTGGTGCCTCAGTTTCACCATCTGTCAAAAAAGTCTATGAGAACAGACCTACCTATAAGGCCACTTTGAGGATCCGATCAAATAATATTTGTAAAGCACTTAAAGGAGGTCCTGCAGGAAAAATACCTGTAGGGGTCCTGGGCCACACAGTTGCAAAGCCTGGGTTTATTTTAAGGATCGGACACCCACAACTTTCCTTGACATACATAAGCCTGCTGTGTCGCACAGCCTCTGATGGAAAGACAAACAGGCGCTGCTAAAAAGGCCACACTGAAGCATCCCAGACTCCCTCTCCAGCAGCAGGCGGGCGACAGCCAACCAGCCAGGGGGAGGCCTGAGGTTTGCAAGGAGACTCTCCCTTCCACCCCGGCGCGTGGTCAGGACCACACTGCAACCACCCAGCCTGATGGACACGGAAAGCCGTGGCCACACATCCTTAAGGGAAGAAGGGCTTTTCTTGGAGAAAAACCATCAGGAAGCCCTCAAGCAACCCGACGGCAGCAAAAGAGA